GGGGGGGGGGGGGGGGGGGGGGGGGGGGGGGGGGGGGGGGGGGGTTACCGTATTTGGTATCAGCAACAAATGGGGATACTGTCTTATTATTTACATGTAGACTAGGCGTATCACGGTTTCGGTTCGTCCTTCAGTACAGGAATTCCAGCGACGGGACAGGCGTTGACTGACTGCACCAAGCGCATGGTGGGTCATGCTTCTACTACTACAATGTATAGCACTCCTGGTACAGTTACACCGGCGTGGTCACTACTTGGCCCAACATGCGCATGTGCAAGCCTTGATGCAGGCCTCCTCGAATGTATCAAGAAGCACAAGTGCTACAAAAAATACTTGCTACAACCAACTCCGGTAGGCGACCAATTTTCTGACTTTACCCCCCGGTTGGCAGAAGCCGCCCGGAAAACCTACATAAGGCAGGCACTGACTGACCACACGGAGCGCCCGGATAACGCAGCACGCCGATCGTCCGTGCCGTGGGCTCCTACATTACGGCTGCCGCTGAGCTATCTGGAGAGCGTTGTACAGTCATTTGCCACACAACGGGCGCTGCATCGCGAAATAGTGCATGCTTCCTTGCACAAGAGGATGTGCTGTGTGATCAGCTCATCTGCATCACGCAATAGTGCGTGTTATCTTGCAGAAGACGATATGCATACTTCTGCGTGGTCGGCTCGTCTAATGCGGATATATCGCTAAGGCCGATCCCGTGACCTTCCTTCCTCATCGGTCATTTCCTGAGTTTCATTATCGCACGTTCGCGCCTCTGCCATGCCAGTCATGTATATGCAAGCCTGCCCGCGGCCTCGACACTGTGGTGGTCGGACGCCGCCGCGATATGTGGCATGCTACCGGGTGCGGGAGGGTATACCTAGCCTCCACTACATCAGCAGCACAACGGGTCTGCTGCGCGCCAAACATTCCAAACGCTCTAATGTACCCCGCTAACAAGACTAACACCTTCGTATGTTCAGCAGCCGGTTTGCGAGATAGACTTCAAATGCAAGATACATGTAGAATCACGTGCAAATTGCGTACACAGGGCCTCTTCGTCGGGGGAGCCCGCAAAGTATAAAAGCGTATCGCGTGAGCATTTATTTTTTTTTGTCCCACGAGAACAGGTTACTTTGATTGGTCAGCCGGGCAGCGCGGTCGATGCTCGCTAAGCAAAAACACAAACGCAAGAGTCCATAGAGGACATACAGGACGTGGTTTACGCGAGAGAGAGGGCTTTGTCGACCACAACCCAGACGTTGATGCCATGGGTTTGTCGGCAGCGACAACATGTAGGGTTAGGACCGCGACGGTAGCGGAGACAAGTCCAGGAAGACCAACATGCTGAAGCTAGTTGCAAGCCTAACGGGGCAAACAGAAGACGGATAGAGAGCAACCCACGATAGGCACTCATGTCTCCTATAATTCCCTGGAAAACACGTGTATCGAGCCTTCGGGTTGCGTAAGACCCCACACCCCCTTAAACCGACTTTCAAAAGTCCAGCACCGTATCACACGATCTGCAGAACAACACACAAACGGCGACCGCCTGTCTCATCGAGAGCTTCAATCCAATAAAGCATCATTTGGTATTGGCATCCTATTTCGTCGCGGAGCAAAAATTGGTTCGCAAACTGCTGTGTGGTATCTATTGTGCAACCTGCTGCTGTGTGCATACGAGTATGCGAACGGTCTTTCCGCATTGCCCTCTTGTTTGTCTTGAAACCAGAACCGCAGAACCACACCCCACTCAAAAACACTACTTGTAAGGCAATCTTGGGAGCGTACCAGCACCCGTAAAACAAGTTTGTGCATGATAGGCCCGTGCACTTCGCAGCGGCTGGAGAGTACTGACGCTCTCGGTACGTGGTATGCCAGTGCTGCTGTTCTACTGATACAGTAGCAGTTGAAGGGTGTGCTCTAGAGTCTATATGCACAATGATGCGGCTGAAAACAGCCAGAGGAAGAGCAGGAAAGAACAACAACGCCACTTCTTTCGTTTCGGGTGCGTTTCCGGCAGGCAACAGCAAGGCAACCAACAATGCGCGCGCACACCGCGACGCACGGTGTGCCACGCGGAGATGTGCTCACACTATGTCCACTCGTGGTGCAGGTACACCCACCCTTGTCGCGAATGGCGGCGTTGCCACAACAGCACAGTCAAAGCATCGTGTGCATACATACCTGCGAAAACACACACACAAACCTGCGGCGTGATCTCCCTTATCCCGTGCGGCACGTTAGCCCGCACAACCTCCAGGTCCGGTAGCGGCGGCTCCGCCTCGAACGCGGCCTCGTACAGCGAGTCCATGAACGTCTCCCGAGGGTTGTTCAGCACCGACGTCAGGTTGTGCCCACTCAGCTCCAGCTCCTCCCGAACGTCCTGGAAGTGGAGCATCGCAAGCTCCCGCTCGTCTCCGCTGCCCTCAGCACTGGCACTGATATTGGCAGTACCTGATCCTCCTGCAGCAGCACCTCTCAAGCCCTTCCTTCGACGGAGTTCCCTGTCGTCCCCCGCCGAGCCCGTTCGCTGGCGAGGGTCGGCACTCCTGCCGGTGGCAACGCCCCCCGCCAACGTCGGCGAGCCGCGTCTCTCTCTCCATCTGCCTTGCATGGTCCGTCGTGTAGCCGATGATGATGATGACTGCCGCCGTTGTTCTGGTCGGTCTGCTGCAGCTCTCGGTGCCGTCGCTGTCGAGCGCCGCGCCGCTGGGGTGATGCTAGGCCCAGCAGGCGTTGCCGGACCCGCATCTGAGCCAGCAGGCGGCAAGGGTTTTCGCTCCATGCGTGGTACCGTCTCTCCTGTCTCAATTCGATCTCCTGGGCAGTGGAGACGGTCCCAAGGGATCGCATGTGGCAGTCTGGACATCCGCGATGATGACACCACGACAGGGGACCGCGCAAACCGGGAAGGCAAAGGATGGTAGCGGAGGGATAGGATGTCGGGGGTTCCGTACCTACATACAGCGGCAGACAGCACCATGATCTGTGATGAAGTGATGTGGTGTGGTTGGCCCCGTTCCGCGCGTTCTCCATGAATGAGATGCTTAGTATCGTGCTGCGATGAGTGATATATGTAGAAGAGTGAAAATCGTTAACATGAAACCAAACTACAGCAGTAAACGTACATCAATAACTGCTCGGTCGATGAATGTATGTGCGCATATGCACCATTATTATTACTTGTATACTAGAGTAAACCGCCCAATTAACGAACGCTTAAGACAACCCTCGCGCCAACAGCTCATTCTCGGGCGTGAAAAGGATTATGCAATATTTGTAGATATCGGACGATAGGATATGTCTTAGGCTACCTCTCTCTTAAAAAAAAAAAAGTCGTTTGTGTCAATGAGATAGAGCTGATGCAGTGCATTCCATTGTTTAGCGAAAAATGTAGGAAAACCCCCCCCCCCCAACTAACGAACACTTCAGCTTTGTTGCTGATTTCGCGCGTTCTGAAGCGTTTCATGATCTGTTTTATTGTGTAGATACGTCTATTGCAACACATATCCATTTTAGAAAAAAAAATGGAATCGATCCACGCCCGGGGACAAAATCCTCACATCCCCGGGTTTTCCGGCTGAAATCGGGGACGGATTTTACCCCATTTTTGACCGTGCGGCGATGCTGCGTACATGAAAAGAGCCAAAACTAAGAGATTAATGTACAGCAGTGGGTCTAATCTGATCACATACAGACCCCCTAAAAAAAAATTAGGACGAAAAACTTCGCGCATGTGATGTAATGCCCGTTCAAACAGGCACCCCTTGACCTGGCCGCCACTGCAAGAATTCTCCGCAAGAACCCCAAGGAAGGCCATTTCCCTTACATGTATTTCACAGTCGTCTTGCATGCCCACAAGACGCCCTTTCTTTGGTGGGTAGGTTTGTTCTGTCACAAGAAACACTGTTGCAAAAAATAAAAACATGCATGCATGCCCGGGGACAAAATTACCATATCCCCGGGTTTCCCGCCGGTATCACCCACCCCCGCCCCACCCGCGCTGCTGGGGTGCACCCTAACCATCACTACATGCCCCCACAACCACGTCATCTTCTACTTTTCTACAATAATTCATCCACCGCCTAGATAGACAGCAGTAGTCCAGAAAAAAAACGACAACCGTAAAGCATCTATCCTAGTCTAAACATTAACGATTGGTGTCGGGATCCGTTGCCGTCCTCGGGAGGAAATCTTCCTCCTCCTCCTTGCTCAGGACAGTCCTGGGACCAACCTCCGCATCTATGGCCACCTTCTTCTTCACACGGTCGTGCAGCGAGGCTAGCGGCAACCCGTAGTAGGTCTTCGCAGCAACGCGGAGCGACATCTCACCGCTGCGTGCCGCATCTACAGCCTTCTGGGCCTGCTCTGTGTCTACTCTCGTACGTCCCATGCTTACCAGCAGGACCCCGAAAAGGGCAAAGATGCCCCACATCAGGGGTGGTGGTGGTGTGGGTGAGGGCTGTGCTGTATCCCGGGAGTGCTTGACCCGATCGACACGCGGAGGTGCTCAAACGAAAGCTAACGGAAAGCTGAAAATTTGGGAACAACACGGACACAGCGAGTACTCCCCCTACCCATACACAACACCGTCAAAACTGCTTGTAAGCTAGAACAACCTCTCATTCATTCCTCTCTTCCCACATACTTTTCTTCGCTTTTTGTCTTCTTGTCTTATTCTCTCTTTTTTGCCTTTTTGTCTTTTTCTCTCTTTCCTGTGCAAGATGGCCTTGTCTCTGCTTGCATTGTCATGTACCAAGATTGAACCAAGGGGGTGCACCTCATTCTCTCCGGCCCGTGATGGTGACCTTAGTCTCAGTTGTTACCTCGTATAAGCGCGCAGAGGGAATGGAGGACTCCAGAATATCTGTCGTTGATTTCTATTGATTTGAGTGTATGTACCTGTTAAGGGTAAGTCAACCTGCGACGACGGGAATCGACCACGTCGAGTGTTGGATCAGTACGGACATACGAAGGTACCGGGTAGAGAGAGATCGGAACGGTTTTTAATGTGAAGACAAGAGCAACAACAACAACGTACAAATGATGTAGATACATACATGAAATGATACACTGTCTTTACTTCTGGTCCGCGCTGCCTAAAAATATATGGGAAAGGTAGCTATACCTTCTGTCGACACACGGGCGAGAGAGGCGACCATACCCACTGCATTTAACACACACCCACATGTCAGTGATGAACCCCCAACCACACGCCTCTATCGTCGGCCACGTCAGGAGTTAATAATGAGATAATGTTCTCCCGTGCCCTTCTCACATTGAACGACATGCCATTACACATAGTACGAAAACACACACACACGCACAACAAGGTAAATATGTTCTCCCGCGCCGCCATGCCCCCATACATCACAAACAAAAAATAAGTTGATGGCGAAACTATACACAACCCGAAACGCGCTTGCTCCGCAACCACATAACGGTGCTATAATNAATGTTCTCCCGTGCCCTTCTCACATTGAACGACATGCCATTACACATAGTACGAAAACACACACACACGCACAACAAGGTAAATATGTTCTCCCGCGCCGCCATGCCCCCATACATCACAAACAAAAAATAAGTTGATGGCGAAACTATACACAACCCGAAACGCGCTTGCTCCGCAACCACATAACGGTGCTATAATAGAACACCCGACAAACCGAGTCCCCCTAAATCTTCCGTCTACAACTTCCCAACATAACATACAGATTGATACACAACATGGCTACCAAACTGCCTTGTTGAGGCTGTTACCCACAGGGAAGTTATCGTTGTATGCTGTCTGGGAAACCGTAGACATACAGGTAGCCTTTCGCTCACGCTATGGATTCATTGCTAATCTACCTTAGACGTATGTCTATAGATAAGATGGATTTGTTGCGTGATAATAAGAAAAAAAAAAAAAATGGAGGTCTCGGCGGATGGTGCGCCGAGCGTCGTCCATTTGAAAAAAACGTTCGTTAAAGGGGGGGTGTTCGTTAATACCCTGGTTTACTCTATGTATGCGAGATCTCTTGACCTGATGTCAAGTCGAGCACTCCATTGCCGTGTTCAGTCTGCCCGTATTCACCACCAAACGCTATATATATGTACTGAAATGTTATACCGAGAGCCACGCAACAAATACGTCTTGAAGGAGAACACCTACACTACGGAGGTCGCGGATCTATTAGTTGTATGGTGATTTTGGTGTTGGTGCTGTCAGCGCTACAATAATAAGACAGACGCACGCCTTTGAGAAGCTGCTCGTCATTTCTGCAGCAACGACTCTGGCTTCGACCATGCCCCGTACTCCGTACAGACAGGCCATCGCGGGCGGCGACTCCCTCCCATAGCGCAAGAATATTCCCGTTGCATTGATTTGCGGAACAGCCGGACAACATCCATCCCCGATTGGTCACGACCCGCCCCCCTCCCCGCCGTCCCCGCCCCCCAATTGGAAAGACATCTAGCTTACAGGGTACAATGACTACAGCTCGCGGCGATCTCTGCAAAGAATGGTGCAATTCCACGTTCCACGCCCATGCATCCTCGTCAAGCTTTTCCACGACAGACGTGCAAAAAAAGCGGCATTGAAGGAGAACAAATCAGTGCGCGGAGGGAATACTCCCTCCTCTTCGTGCCAAACTGTCTCGGAAGTTGTGAAGCGCCTTCAACTTCAACGATGGCTTGCCACATGCAAAGGAGATCAAGATCGAGCTTCCCTGGCAAAGTCTACGCCAATACTGCGTGTGTCTCATTCGTACGTCGATTAAGGCCCATCGAGACAATCAGCAAACACTGCCATGATGTACATTGCCAACCGGGGTACAGCTGTAGTAACAACGCTTACCAGGCTACCAATCACCATCTCATATCGTTCAACGGAGTAAATAGCACCTTGTTGCAACGGGAAATAGATAGCAATTTGATCGTTTCGCTGCCTACCAACACGCTTTACGTTGTACCGTACACTGCCTTATTCCCACAACACGCAAGAGTGGCATTGTCAAGCCAAAGCGGCGTTAAAGCTCGCATGCGCTTGATCTAAACCATCGCTGGCTAAACCTTCCCGGCTAGAGCGGTGGGTACTTTTCGCAAAAAACTCTCTAATACGACTGGAATCTATGCAGGCACACGCACGCTCTCCGTGCGAGCATTTCCCCGCCCCCGACCCCCCCCCCCCGGTGTTTGCTATCGGGGTTGGGTTTTCGTCGCTTGGCAACGACGTTATAAAACAAGCCAATTCACTTCGTGAACTCGGCAACCAGGTTACCGGTTTTATTTTACCTCCGGGTTTTTTTTTTGGCGGTAACCATAATGGTCGTCGAGTAGATCACGTTGTGAGGGGTCGAGAACCCTCACTCCACGCAAGGGGGATGGTCGCACCACGTTGTGTTGAAATGGTCAAGCACCCTCGAGGCAGTTACACAGTGCTTACAACTGTCTCTGGATTGAAGTGCACCAGAAAATAAATTAATTCATACGCAGCTGTCATCCGTACGCAAGGAAGTAAGCACAAGATGCCGAACACCCTTAGCAGGATGCAGCGCACCCTTCATGCGACTCGCCAAATATCTCACGGCGCTTCGCGCTTGGTGATGTATGAGCCTGGTCCGGTGAGAACCCGGCGTGCTCCATCCCGGCTTTGCACGGATGCGAGGTCAATGGTCTAACGACTACGGCATGCACAACTATGAGTACACCCCCCCCCGCCCCCAAAACTGATATTTTTTTTTTTCGCAATCTCCCTCTGCAACCAATGTCGACGCGGCCTACTCTAGGGCGACCAAGCAGTGCAACTCTAACAACTGCTCTATATCACGCACCGCGTTCGACGGACTTATTTGTCTTTAAACTTGAAAACACAAATCCCACAAAAGTACAAAAAAAATACGTCCGGGCCGGGCCGGGCCGGACCAGACCGTGCCGCTCTCGATACCGGGGCGGAGCGGTCTCAATCCTATCCAAGTAAGGCCGCCGACAAGCGCGACGTCTTTCATCTCGACGCTCGCCCTACTACGGCTCGCCGCCGCCCTGCTCCCCATCCAGAGGATCAACGCACATGCCGTCCGCCGCCGCCGCCTCGTCGCCGTTACAGATCGCTGCGCCCGATGCCGGCGTTAACCCGGAGGAGGGGGGTGAAGAGTAGGGGCGGGGGAACCCTACCCCGCAACCGCCGCTACCGCTGGACTCGCAGCTGGGGATCCTAGTTGCGGCGGCGGCGCCACCGTCGTCGCCCCAGTAGCTGATAACGCCGTCCTTGTTCTCGTTAGCGGCGGCTCGGCGACCCGCTCTTTCCTCTCCTGGCCGTTGCAGGGATTCGGCGTTAGAGGCAGAGGAGGCGGAGAGGCGCTGCTGCTCCAGGCGCAGCCATTCCTGGTGGTAGTAGTCGCAGTTGTTGTTCAGGTTATCCAACAACGGCGCGAGCTTGGGAAACAGCAGAGTAAACGGTTGCCACAGCGGCTTGACGATCTGGGAGAAGACAACGGTGGGGGCGGGAAAGAGGGGGGGCGTACTCTTATGTTTTGCATGTCTTAGCGGTTAGACCATTGACCACGCGTCCTCGAGAGGACGGAGCATTGTTCCCACAGGACCGATCACCGATGGCCAATCGTTCCTTTCTACTTTGCCAAAGGTGGCTCAAAAATG